CGTTAGTGGTAGCCGGGGGGGAGAGCTGAGGGGAAGCCCGCCTTCTAGCGGAGACGGCACTGGTGTAGGTGGTGAGTACCATCAGAGACCTGGGTCTCAAGGTGGCGCCCCAAAAGACACAGGCCATGTTCTTTCACGGCCAGGGTCGGAGGGTGCCGCCAGGGACCCGGGTACTCGTAGATGGAGTCCACGTCCGCGTCGGGCCGACGATGAGATATCTCGGCCTGACGCTGGACAGCCGGTGGAGCTTCGGACCCCACTTTGGGGAACTGGCCCCCAGGGTGCACAAGGCAGGTCTGGCGGTGGCCAGCCTGACGCGCAACCAAGGGGGCCCAGGATGGAGGGCTCGCCACCTGTACGTCACGGCGGTGCTCTCGATCGCCCTGTACGGGGCGCCCATCTGGGCGCCACAGCTGGGGACCTGCCGCAGAGGCAAGTGCGCACTGCGGCAGGCCCTGAGGCCCGTGCTCATCAGGGCAATTCGGGGGTACCGGACCGTGTCGTACATGGCGGCGACCACCCTGGCCGGCGTCCCCCCTGTGGAGCTCCTAGCCGAGGAGCGGCATCTCCTTTACTGGAGGGTAAAGGAGCTTCACAGGGAGGGAAGAATGTCGGCCAGGGCCCTAAGGAGTCTGAAGCTCCAAGCCGAGGCCCGGACCCAGGAGAGGTGGGAGGACTTATTGTCCGACCCCCGGGTCCCGGGCCAGCGACGGCAGCGGCTGTCCGCCCCTGCCTGCCCGAATTGACAGGCAGGAGAGGACGTGGACTATCCTTCCGTCTGGCGCAGGTGCTGACCGGGCACGGGTGCTTTGGTCGGTACCTGTGCCGGATAAGGAGGGAGCTCACCACTCGATGCCACCACTGCCCCGCGCCGGAGGACACGGCGCACCACACCCTGGTCGCGTGCCCAGCATGGGCCGGGGAGCGCCGTGTCCTCTGCGGGGCAGTGGGGTGCCAAGAGGGGGAACTCTCGCTCCCGCACATGGTCAAAGCCATGTGCGGGAGCGAGAAGGTGTGGTCAGCGGCGGTCTCCTTCTGCGAGACAGTAATGTCCCAGAAGGAGGCCGCCGAATGGGGGCGTCGGCCGCACCGGGGCTGCGGGGAGCAGCTCCCGGGCGGCCGACGCCCCCAGGAGGACGATGGGAGCGACAACGGGCTCGGGGCAGCGCCGGCCGAGGAGGGCTCCCAGACCCGCGAGGGACGGGAGCTCCCTCGGCCGCCCCGAGCCCGACACCGGCCGCAAGGGGGGGAGTAGGGGGGCGGCGAGACGCCTTCCCTGCCTTCCCCCCCCAAGGGACCGGATAGGTAAGGACAGGGGGGAGCGGTGCCCCGGTTGGGGCCCGCTCCCCTAAAAATCCTCCCCTCCCTGACTAGCAGGGAGGGGGGGTAAGGAGGAGAGGTGGATGTCCCCTCCCTCCTTGGTAGGAGACACCAGAAGACCAACCGACGGGGGGTAACCCCCGCCGGGGACCGCGCCCTGGATTCCCTTCGTGGAACAGGGCGCGGTACACAGGTGGCGAGGGGCTCCCGGAAGGAAGCCCTGGGGCCGGGGGGTATACGGGGAGGGAATACGGGAGTAGTTCCCCTGACTCCCCTCCTCACGGTCCGACAGGTAGACATCCCGCAGGGGTTTTAGTCGGTAAGAGTCCGACATAACCCCCTCCCCCCCAAGGGGAGGGGGTATCCATGAGGGATTTCCCCTGCGTGACCAAAAAAAAAAAAGAGGGTGCGGGGGAGGGGCGGAATCCCTCTCCCGCTTATATGTATTGTTTCCTATATTTCTATGTATACGCTATGTTTGAATTAACTGTTTGGATTGTACTGTAAATAACATCAGCTTATGATATCTGGAATTCAATTCCAGGATAATAAAAATTCCAAAACTTTAAAATCAAATATCTCGGAAACTATAAGTGAGCCCTATATAGTTGTATCAGGAAGTCACTCAGAATTTCATCTTTTATAACATAGTTTAAAATGAAAAAAACTAGTGGGATGCATTCCTTTTTATATATTTACCTCTACTTCAAATATACTTCAACATACAATTATAAAACTTTAAGGTCAAATATCTCAGAAACTATAAGCGACCCCTATATAATTGTATTAGAAAAAGTCACTCAGAATCTCATCCTTTATAATATATTTCAAAATGAAAAAAATCGGTGAGGTACATCTTTTTTTATATATTTACCTCATTTCATATTATATTCTGAGTTGCAAAATTTTGGGTTTTACTACATATGTTAAAATTAATAATAGATATACTGTTCCGTACGGCACGTGATGCCGTACGGAAAGTCGGTGCGAGTCAACGCTGCAGGGCGGGCGGCCTGGTGCCCGGGGCGTTCTCGCTGGCGGCGGGGGACTCGGGTTCTCGCGAGCGAGCGCGCGGGATCCCCACTAGGTCCAACCGCGGCCGCTATACGGCGCGGCTCGCGATTCCGCTGCCCGCGGGCAAGATTCGACCGCCCGGATATATAACCAGGCGCGCGATGCCTGGTCCTTGCCTTGTCTTGTCTTCTGCCTGGCCAGTTTAGGTAGCAAGTAGTGCTACGCGTTAGTACATCGTGTACTGGTGATTACCGACGCGCTTCCTAGGGCGATCGGTATTTCGTTCAGATTCGAACCACTGCTCTATAGACTCTGCTGAGTTGAAGGTGGCGCCGATACACCCTGCTGGGTTGAGGCAAATGGTTCGAATCTCGTTTTGTGATCTCGGACTCACGGCGTTGCCGTGATCTTAGGAGCGACTCGACCGTCTCCTCGGAGCTTCGAGCTCTTTTATTGCCCAAGTGTCCGTAGGGGGCCTTGGCGGTTTTGGAGCGGCTCGGTCGCAGTCCTAGAGCGTTCGCGCTCCTTCGTCCAAGTGTCCATTGGGAACTTGGCTTTCTCGCAGGAGCGACGTGGTCGTCCTGCGAGCCGGAGCTCTCGGAGCTCCGTTTCCACGCGTCCTCGGGACCGTGGCTGGCTATCCGAAACGACGGAGGTCGTTTCGTTGCACGTCCTTGGCGTGCTTCGGGTGCCGCGCACCGTTGACGTCACGGACGTGTGTCCTGCGGGACTTGCGTAGGCGACGTTGTTTCGCTTGTATATAGCTACGTTTAGGTTCTTCGGCGTCGTTCTTCTGCGTTATTCTCTTCTGCGTTACTACTGCGTTTATTGCGTCCATTGCGTTTACACTGCGTGTCACTTTACGTCGGCACGTGCGCATGCTTCTTCTCTCATGTTCTCGCCGCCGTCCCTGGGCATGGCCCAGTCGGCGCGCGACGTTGCCTGATCAGCAGGGTCTGTGGTCGCCTTGCGAGGCCCCGGCCTTTGATCAGGACGACCGGACGGTCACCGAGCGGACTCGAGCGAGCCTAGACGCAGGCGGACGTCGCTCTGCGATCCGTACTTCCAGCCAGCTCTCCGGAGCTATCATATGTTCGGGCTAGTTCCGAACATATACACAGAATATAGTATTAAGTGATATAACAAGAATATAGTATTAAGTGATAACAATATTAAGCTAAATGATAAATAAAAAATAAATAAATCAATAGAAGGAAACAGATGAATAGAAAAGAAAGAGAAATGTGTGTGTGTGTGTGTGTGTGTGTGTGTATGTAAACATACCTAAATATTTAAGCAACATTAAAAGCAAAGCATACAAAATACCCATGTGAGTAGCTAGTTTGTTGAGATTATTGATTCTGAGTATGCACTATCATTAGTAAATGAGTAAAATTTATAGATTTCATGAAATAAAGATGTTCTTTCTTAGAAAAAAAAAGTAATAATTTCAATTTAATTTAGATATGTATGTGCATTTACTAACATGGTTCTCTTGCTCCATTGTTACAGCCCCGATGCTCAAAGCGTGACCAAATGCAGCAGCCAGCTAGGAAGATTAGAATATCTTAAGTTTAACTTTATGCTAAAATTTCTATTATCAGAGAGATATTCTTTGATAACTTCTTCGAGCACTTGGACAAACATTTCCCAGATGTCAATGTAGATTAAATGATATTTCATATAAGTAGAGCAGAAAATATAATTTTTTTTCTTTGGATCCAGAAGACATATCATATGACTCATTAGTTACAATATCCTATATGATATAACCTCCTATTACTATGTTATAAAAAGAGATATTCTCATTTACAACTTTCAATATGTAATTGAACAATCATTATACAACATATTAATAATAATAATAATAAAAGTACAGATTTTTTATATACATCAAGATTTTGCTACACATCAAGATATATCGCAATACATGAAATTGTGTCACAATATACCAAGATGTAATCATGCGAGATATTAATAATAGTAATTTACGACAAACATATATGAATGTATGAGATACATGTGGTTTTTATTCGTTCACTTCCTTCTATGGTTTATTAATAGTAATTAATGTAATACAATGAGTTAATCGAGAATTGTATCTGTTGAGTTCGGAAAACAATATTCTAAGACACATGTCTATATTATTTCAATGAGATTATTTAATTAATTTTGAATGACCAAAATATTACGTCAGATAACGAAATAATATTATATAATAAAAGAGGTTTTTCATTAAGCATGTTTTGTGTCGTATGTCGATTATTCTTCCGATTATATCCTAACCTAATGCGAAATGCGGATACACGTTTTTTTAACACGAGTTACTTAATTTTTAATGAAGCTTCTTCTGTACGATTTCAAATAGCAAGAATGCCTGTTATTCGTGACCTTTCAGATGTGACTTAATTAACACTTAATCGAAACTTTGGCTTGCCTCATAAAACTATGAAACATATGTTCAAATTTATCGCCATGATGAATAAGAAATACAAACTAGGGGTACGTTCCGTTTCACGCATATGCACGCATTTATCTATAGTTTATGTCACGTATACCAGAGAGAAGCCTGAAAGCACGGTCTTACATACAGGTCTGGAAACTCCTCCAAATTTTAGTAGTGGGGGTAGTTCCCTTATTGATTTAATAAGTTTTAACCCAAATAGTTTGTAGCCCGGCCACGGCGCTGTCGTCTAACTCGCAGATAAACATAGCCTGAAAACTGCAAATCCGTGAGATAATAAATTGTTGACAAAATTCGCAAGTGACAAACTTATTGAAAAATGAGATGTGTGGTACCGAATTGTAAAAGCGGCAGCAGAACCGAGCAGAAACGTTCTCTATTTCGAGTGCCGAAAGATATTGTTACGTGGAAGAAGTGGGAAAAAGCTATTCCGGATACTGTAAAGTTGAATCAAACAGATACTGTGTGTGAAAACCATTTTAACGAGGAAGACATTGTTCGTGAATGGATAAAGTTCGACGCAAATGGTCAAGAAATTGCACGGGTGAGTTTAATGTAAATATTGCATGTGCGGTTTGAAGAGGTTCTTATTCATATCCTGTATTTCTCTAATGAAGGTCGCATACAAGCGTCAGAGGCTCAAGCAGTTCGCTGTGCCCACAAAATTCAATGACGTTTCAACAGGAAAGGAAAATTGTGAGCCACTGGATGAAAATACGAAGCGAATTTCGAATTCTCAAATAAATTCTCCAGGCATTGTCCAATCCTCAGTTGGTGTCATGAAACCTTCAATTCAAGAAAACAGTATAGTCGAAGCAGTCATCAGTGAGTTGCCTTAAACAAAAAGTATTTATTGTAATGTTGATATGAAAAAGATATTGGGTGAGTGCAAAAGTTCGTGCGGAGTTTCAATAGATGGAGTTATAAGCGTCGTAAAGTGTTGTCATTAATACTTCCATCTACATATTATATAACGTTGGAAAGGTGACGTCTTCAGCTGTTATTAAAAAAAAATCATTTGTTTTCATACAAACTGCTTCAAGAAATATCACTTTAAAAATGAGTATCGATAAGGTGCATTTACGGCATGTTATGCTTTACGAGTTACGGAAGGGAATAAACGTTGCCGCAGCCGTAAAGAACATTCAGGATGTTTATCAGGATGAAGCACCAGCTAAACGAACTGTGGCAAAATGGTTTGCTAAATTTCGGCGCGGAGAATTTAACCTTGAAGACGAGCCACGCTCTGGTCGACCTTCTGACATTGATGACGATGTTTTGCGTACTTTAGTGCTCAATAATCCGCGAATTTCAACAGAAGAAGTTGCTACTACTCACTAAACGTTGACCGATCAACCGCTTTTCGGCGTTTAAAAAAGATGGGATTCGATTTGAAGCTCGATATATGGGTGCCCCATTTGCTGACCGAGAAGAACAAAATCAAGCGAATTTCTGCAGCCGTTTCTTTACTCGGGCGGCTCAATAACGAGTCGTTTTTGGATCGACTAGTGACGGGCGATGAGAAATAGGTCCTCTACAACAATGTTCAGCGCAAACGGACATGGAAACAATCAGGTGAGCATGGTGACGCAATGCCAAAGGCCAGTTTGCACCCGATGAAGGTGATGCTCTCTGTTTGGTGGGATTGCAAGGGCATAATCTATTTCGAGCTTCTCCCCGCTGGCGAAATGATTGATTCGGACAAGTACTGTCGCCAATTAACCAATCTGAATCGAGAAATAAAAGAGAAACGTCCGATTTTGTCAAATCGCAAGGAAGTCGTCTTTCATCACGACAACGCCAGACCACACGTTTCGAAAAAAACGCTGCGCAAACTGAAGAACCTGAAATGGGATGTCTTAACGCATCCACCGTATTCTCCTGATATCGCACCATCTGACTATCACTTGTTCCGGTCATTGCAAAATTATTTAAATGGAAAAAACTTTGACTCTTTGGAGGCCTTAAAAACGGCGTCTCTTCGTTCTTCGAATCTAAACCGCGCAGTTTTTATGATCGAGGCATCCGTATGCTGCCAGAACGTTGGGAAAAGATTATAGAAAACGATGGAGAATATATCATTGATTGAATAAAGATTTTTGTTTGCCTAATCACTGTGTGACCTTTACTCACAAACTCCGCACGAACTTTTGCACTCACCCAATAGAATATAAATAATCGGATCTTACTTCAAGATCGTCTTAAGTAACATCTTAAGTTTCCAATACAGCTCAGTGATTGGCTTAGGTCTTCTTAAGTGTTTACTTCAGACGATGTAATATATAACATCCGACTATGAATACCGGCCTAACGACGGAGCGTTTTTATTTTAAAAGATGGTTAAAAATTATTGCATTGTTTTTCCAGGTTATTTATGCAAGCAAGTCCTTAAAAAATATAAATCCTGCTCAGTGTGTGAAGAAGCCGTGAGATTGAAAACCAGCTGCGGATCTTCGGAGTCACAACTGGTTGAAATGAAATCACGCGGTGGTCTTATTCACGCTAATCTCCATTTCTTTCACTTAATCCGCTATATAGAAGCATCGTTTGCAAAATATTCCTCTCGTGTTGACGTCTTCGATGTAATTCTCGATAAAGTACTTGATTCTTATACCTTCACGTTTCCCTGTAAAGAACATGCATCTGAAATCCTGTCTTATGCTATAGTTTATTATTTAAGATTAAGAATGAGGCAAACTGCTCACCAGGAAAATTTAAAATTAAAAAAGAAATTTGTTGTAAAGAAAAAATTGTCCAAACTAACTAATGAATAAAATGCTTACGTAAGCGAAAATTAATAATGTCCTTTCTCACCTTGCAATACTTTTTCACATTTAGCCAAACACTGTCAATTTCAATTTTGGAATACCTGTGGCAAAATAAAATGACAAACATTGAAGAATTCATTTTAATTTATACCTATTTCATTTTAAAAAATTAAATACCTGCACAACTTGAAACTAAATTAAAAGGAGAGAAAATGGAAGAGTTGGTTTTTATTCATATTTACCTTGACTTGACAACTTGAATACGTAAAACTAGAAATACCAAATTACACATATAAAATAATAACTCGTTTTTTGTACTTAATTTTTAAAAGAAAAACTCGTGTGTATTTCTTTTATATACTTATTTCATTAATTTATCTTATATCATGTAAAGCGTTCATTTTTTATATTGCTTTGCGAAATAATTTAAAGCAACACCCAGAGAAATATTTCAGTATATCAATTCAGGTTGACCAGATTAACATCTTTCAATCGATATATTTGTGTAACAAATACGCGAGTTTACCACTCTGCTCTTACCCGCCAGCGTCTCACCCCCGAGCAAGCTAGATCGCAACGCCTCTAGTGGCTATTACAGAAAATAAAATTGGCTTCAATAAGGGAACTACCCCTACCACCGGAGTTTCCAAACCTGTATGTAAGACCGTGCTTGAGAGCGGACATGGTTGCATTTACAGCGTTATGGAAAAGTTGGCTGATTCGCAGCGTCATCTGGGTCCATTTTTCATGGATATGAACTACTAAGCCGATATCCACGATTTGTTGGTACTATTCCGTGCTATGTCCATAATTATTTAATTCTGTTCTGTGCTATGTTCACGAGCGAGCTAGATTAGTTAGATAAAACGAAGAATCGATCTTTGTCTCACCACTAGCGAATAGACAATCGCGACGAAGAGAGCCAGCAGCGATGTCATCGTAAAGCAGACGTCGCCGTCCCCCCTTTCAACCCCTTGTTTTTCTTTCCACATTGTTTTATATTCATAATTCGGGAAGAAAATAATTTCGAGAGTTCGGATGATTTCTAGCAATGACGCGACAAAGATAACGCGCGGCCACATTAATTTGTCATGACTTTTATATTACTTATAATTACATAAACGCCCATATATGCAAATTATAGATAATTATTGCGCGTATGTTTTAATATTGTACAATATGGTATATAATAACAACAACTTCATTTCTTGCAGTAATTTTTTTAAGATCTTCGTTGAGGTCGTGAATTGATTTTTTTCATCAATCAGTTTTCTGCAAAAATTAAGATTTTTTAAATAAAATATAATGTTTCTCTCCTCTTATCTCCGAAGAGTTAATTAAAAAATATGTACTCCACAGAGTCAACTAACAAATGTGTAGTCAGAAGAGTCAATTTAAAAGTGTACTCCGAAAAGTCAATTTAATAACGTATTCCGCAAAGAATTTTAAAGCGAACTCTGAAAAATAAAATTAATATTGTAATCCGAAAAAAATTTATAACAGAATATTTACTTCGATGATTCAGTTAAAGAAAAAATAATTATTATTATATCGAGAGAATAATATTTAATTTATTATTTATACTTATCTTACTTACGCTTACCTTCTTTGACTGAAAAGATTTAATTTGTTGACTGATTCAGATTCAGATTTGTTAAAATATCTCTTATGCGCAACTCTTGAACAGGTAGGTAGTAAAATAATTTTCTTTCTTTATGAATTTTATAAACTTTTCACGAACGTAAAAATTGAAAGATTCTCAGAGAACAAATAACTTTTCTTGAACATTTAAACCAAAGGAAAATCTTTTCCCATTAATAAAGAATGAATAATTATTATCTCATATATTTTTATTGAGTAGTGCACTGAACAACTATGACATTGTTCTGAGAGTTTTCTCATTTAGAGCAACGAAACAAATATATTTTATGAATTTTTTTCGCGCAAATAGAAAATTTCACGGATGTAATTGTTTTTGGAGATTATTTAATACTGTATGAAAAATATTTATTAACTTACAGGATATTGTAATAAAAGCAAAGAGGTTTCATTTCGTACTTCTTCATTCTGTTACAATATTCTTTTATATTTCATACTACATCCTTGTATAACTTAAAATTATTCTTAAAATATTATTAAACAATCCAATAATCAAACCTGTGAACCTGCCCGACTCCGCAAAATAATTGATAAAATATATTTCATTTTCTTGGCGCCGGATATGATCAATAGTATTACAAATAATACTACAAATGATATAAATTTTTACAAATAAAATTTGTAAAAATTTGTATTATTTGTAACATTATTATACAATTACAAATAAAATTACAAATAATAATATTACAAATAATATATATTACAAATAATAATATTATTAATAATGAAATATTATTTGTAATAATTTCGGTGCGCCGAGTAGACAAAACTTTTCAGTATTGTCATAGAGAGGAAAGGAGAGACAGAGACAGTCGCGCCCGTGATTCAAATTATGGGCAAGAAAGAATTAGACTCGCTCGCTGAGCGAGAACGAGAGCGACAAGGAGGGAATGATATTCTCTTTCTCTCTCGCTCGCTCGGCGCGTCGACATTGCCGATCGCGTGGGTCACACGGATAGACCGAGCCTGCTGGGAGCGTGCAAGGCTAGGGGGGGCGATCCTCGTACAAGCCCGTCACCAAATTCGCATCACTGATAGCAATGATGTCAAAACCGAACAAGCTGCGGACAAGTGTAACTTGTAAATACCGGAGATCAACTGTTTATCAGCTCATAGACAATTAATATGACGAGATACCCGTGGAGACCCATGCACTTCTCTTTCGTCTTCGCGTACAATTACGATCAATAAAAAATTTTCACGAATTGTTCGGTTTTGACATCATTGGTATACGTGTGTATGTGTATGTGTATGTGTACACATACAATTGCGATATTCACTTATCATGTTAGCATTGATCATTTTTATTCATGCTAAAACAAGATAAGTATGATTATGCAAAGAATTTGTCTGCGTATTATTATACATTCTACATAGTTCTCCCTGTGATAGCAAAAATAACACACTTGAATAACCTCTACGCTAATATCACGAAGCCTGATCCACTGCGCTACTGAAGCTAATTGGTAATTCTTCTGCTATATCGACATTAACAGAAAAGACTAAACTTCAAACTGCATTTCTCAAAAACGTTTAAGATTTGCACCGTTTTTGAATAGCATTTGTTACTATTACATCAATATTATACTTTTCTAAAAGCAAAATCGCGCGGTGATTTCAAGGATGAAGATTCCTCTTGTGTGAGATATTATTGGGTGAGTGCAAAAGTTCGTGCGGAGTTTGTGAGTAAAAGTCACACAGTGATTAGGCAAACAAAAATCTTTATTCAATCAATGATATATTCTCCATCGTTTTCTATAATCTTTTCCCAACGTTCTGGCAGCATACGGATGCCTCGATCATAAAAACTGCGCGGTTTAGATTCGAAAAACGAAGAGACGCCGTTTTTTAAGGCCTCCAAAGAGTCAAAGTTTTTTCCATTTAAATAATTTTGCAATGACCGGAACAAATGATAGTCAGATGGTGCGATATCAGGAGAATACGGTGGATGCGTTAAGACATCCCATTTCAGGCTCTTCAGTTTGCGCAGCATCTTTTTCGAAACGTGTGGTCTGGCGTTGTCGTGATGAAAGACGACTCCCTTGCGATTTGACAAAATCGGACGTTTCTCTTTTATTTCTCGATTCAGATTGGTTAATTGGCGACAGTACTTGTCCGAATCAATCGTTTCGCCAGCGGGGAGAAGCTCGAAATAGATTATGCCCTTGCAATCCCACCAAACAGAGAGCATCATCTTCATCGGGTGCAAACTGGCCTTTGGCATTGCGTCACCATGCTCACCTGATTGTTTCCATGTCCGTTTGCGCTGAACATTGTTGTAGAGGACCAATTTCTCATCGCCCGTCACTAGTCGATCCAAAAACGACTCGTTATTGAGCCGCCCAAGTAAAGAAACAGCTGCAGAAATTCGCTTGATTTTGTTCTTCTCGGTCAGCAAATGGGGTACCCATATATCGAGCTTCAAATCGAATCCCATCTTTTTTAAACGCCGAAAAGCGGTTGATCGGCCAACGTTTAGTGAGTAGTAGCAACTTCTTCTGTTGAAATTCGCGGATTATTGAGCACTAAAGTACGCAAAACATCGTCATCAATGTCAGAAGGTCGACCAGAGCGTGGCTCGTCTTCAAGGTTAAATTCTCCGCGCCGAAATTTAGCAAACCATTTTTCCACAGTTCGTTTAGCTGGTGCTTCATCCTGATCAACATCCTGAATGTTTTTTACGGCTGCGGCAACGTTTATTCCCTTCCGAAACTCGTAAAGCATAACATGCCGTAAATGCACCTTATCGATACTCATTTTTAAAGTGATATTTCTCGAAGCAGTTTGTACGAAAATAAATGATTTTTTTTTTAATAACAGCTGAAGACGTCACCTTTCCAACGTTATATATGTAGATGGAAGTATTAATGACAACACTTTACGACGCTTATAACTCCATCTATTGAAACTCCGCACGAACTTTTGCACTCACCCAATAATTATTCATTCTTTATTAATGGGAAAATATTTTCCTTTGGTTTAAATGTTCAAGAAAAGTTATTTGTCCCCTGAAAATCTTTCAATTTTTATGTTCGTGAAAAGTTTATAAAATTCGTAAAGAAAAAAAATTATTTTACTACCTACCTGTTCAAGAGTTGCGCATAAGAGATATTTTAACAAATCTGAATCTGAATCAGTCAGCAAATTAAATTTTTCATTCAAAGAAGCATATGTAGGGTAAGCATAAGTAAAATAAGTATAAATAATAAATTAAATATTATTCTCTGAATATAATAATAAATAAATGTTTTTTTCTTCAGCTGAATCATCGAAGTAAATATTCTATTATAAATTGACTTTTCGGATTACAATATTAATTTGATTTTTCAGAGTACGCTTTAAAATTGACTCTTCGGAATACGCTATTAAATTGACTTTTCGGAGTACACTTTTGAATTGACTCTTCTGACTACACATTGTTAGTTGACTCTGTGGAGTACATATTTTTTAATTAACTCTTCGGAGATAAGAGAAGAGAAACATTTTATATTTTATTTAAAAAATCGTAATTTTTGCAGAAAACTGATTGCTGAAGAAAAAAATTAATTCACGACCTCAACGAAGATCTTAAAAAAATTACTGCAAGAAATGAAGTTGTTATTATATACCATATTGTACAATATTAAAACATACGCGCAATAATTATCTATAATTTGCATATATGGGCGTTTATGTAATTATAAGTAATATAAAAGTCATGACAAATTAATGTGGCCGCGCGTTATCTTTATCGCGTCATTGCTAGAAATCGTCCGAACTCTCGAAATTTTCTTCCAGAATTATGAATATAAAATAATGTGTAAAGGAAAACAAGGAGGTGAAAGAGGAGACGGCGACGTCTGCCTTACGATAACATCGCTGTTGGCTCGCTTCGTCGCGATTGTCTATTCGCTGGTGGTGAGACAAAGACCGATTCTTCATTTTTATCTAACTAATCTAGCTCGCTCGTGAACATAGCATAGAACAGAAGCAAATAATTATGGACATAGCACGGAATAGTACCAACAAATCGTGGACATTGGCTTAGCAGTTCATATCCATGAAAAATGGACCCAGTTGGCGCTTCGAATCAGTCAACTTTTCCATAACGCTGTAAATGCAGCCATGCCCGCTCTCAGGCTTCTCTCTGCTGTCAGAGAGAAACCTGAGAGCGGCTATTAGCGAAGATTCAGAAATTTTTATGAATTCGACGCGCCCCTTGAAAAAATACACGTCAACTACATCGATGTCACTTGGTAACGAAGTGTGTCTGTGATAGTTTGGTTCATATCTGAGCTACTACACAGAATATAGTAAAAATTATATATATATCATCAGGAGGAATCATCCCAGCAAACACAATGGCCCATATTCAGAACGCGCTAACATATACGCTGACATATACGCTTCTAAATACGCGAGATGTAGGTGCGCTTGTAGCGCTCGTATGCAGAACGTAAGAACAGAGCACTATTACCTAAAGACGCAATGACAACCAATAAGAGTGCTCGTTTTCGAGCAGTATGTAGCTATTGGTTCTTTTCATATCGCGTAATGTGGATGCGGCAAGATTACGAGACGCGCGTCGTCCAGCGATGTTCAAATGTCCGTTGATGATTTTTGCGAAATGGAGTGCTCTGATATATTGTCAAATTGTGTATAGTAAGTTTATTTATTATATTAATTTACATTTCATTCTAATAATTTTGTTACATTGCTTATTTATTATTCATTGCTTGCTCTTAACAACGGATAATTTTAATAAATATACATGTTCGTATCTTTATAGATGAGCGACAAGAGAAGGGAAAATTTTCTGACGAAGAAAAGAAAACAATAATTGATTTAAATTATTATTATTATTTAAATTATTATTATTATTTAAATTATTATTATTTCTTTAAATGTGACAGGAGCTGTTAGTGCTTATATATGGCCCTGACCACTTTTATCGCACGCTGCTAAGATATCGATATGTTAGCATGCTGTTACGACTTATCCGTGGTTCTGAATAAGAATTTTGCTCTAAACACGCGTGATTATCGATATGTCCTAATAAAACGCTGCTCGCGTTGAAAATATGCGCGCTAATAAGAGCGCTGACATCTCGACTTGTTAGCGCGCTAATATCTTTGTTAGCGCGTTCTGAATATGGGCCAATAGGCCTGTTCGTTTTGTCTACACTGCTGAATTGGTGCAACAAGTTGAAGTGAGAAAACCTACGTTTGTCTCACTTTAACTTAATGCACCAGTTCAGCAATGCAGACAAAACGAACAGGCCTAATATTACATGTAACGTGCATGTTAGTTGTAATTTCCTACTTAACAATATAACTGTTATATAACACATGTGTTATATAATAGTTATGAACTAAGATCTTTATCAGTTTTCTTTCAGTATGTACAAAGTCTGTCCCAGATACGATGAAACTGGTTCCATCAAAGTTCTTAGCGCAGCGATATCTATGAGTGAATAATGGTAGGTGAATGTTCTACCCTTCATCTACTTAACCTCAAAATTTGAGCGAATTCGGTTGATATTTCACTGTGGTTTGACATTTTATGTAAAGTCACTTTGTATACGTCGGTCGAAAAACCAACTTTTAAATTGGGTAAAAGTAGTGCAGAAACGTACGAAACGCTAAAAAATGTGTACGGGGATGAATGCATGTCCCGTGCATAGATTTTCCGTTGGTTTGGTCGATTCCGTGACGGTCGTGAGGACCTTGCAGACGATGACCGAGCACCGCCGCCAAAAACCACTCGCAATGAAGAAAACATCGAGAAAGTCAAAGAAATTCTTCGGAGCGACCGCTGTGTGTCTGCCCAAATATTATCTGGGAGTTCTACAACGATTGTGGGCCAGAATTCGACAAGTTCGACCGGAATATCGAGAGCCAGGCAGTTGGTTTTTGTTGCACGATAATGAACACCATCGCACAAAGCCATCATGGTACAGTACCGGCCAAAAATATATCACCTTTAAGATTTTTTAGCATAACTTGGTTTAAAGTGTATCGATATCTATTAGGTCATAACATGTTTTGACAACAGGTGTAGCTTACCGAACAAAGTACTTTTCATCAAATAATATAAACAACTCATGAAAAAAATAACTTTATTTCAAATGTCCAAAGTACGTGAAAATGAATAGTAAACTTTAAATAGCCATAACTATGTTCAATGTCAACAGAGGAACACCAAATTCATAATTTAAATTAAATAACTCTAGTATTTTGTAGCAAAGCCTTTTGCATCGATTACAGCTTGACAACGTCTGGGCATGGAATCAATGAGTGCGTCGATTGTAGCTTGAGGGATCTTTTTCCATTCTTCTTCAAGTTGGGAGAATTTCTGGGCCGCATTCGTAGCTCGCTTTCCTGCCAAACGTCTCTCCAACTCTTCCCACAACGATTCTATAATATTTAGATCGGGCGATTGATTTGGCCAATCCATGAGAATTACGCGATGGCGTCGGAACCACTCCTGCACTTTAACTGCTCGATGTTTCGGATCATTGTCTTGTTGGAAGATGAAACCGCGACCAAGGAAACGTTTTGCATATGGAAGCATTACATTCTGGAGGATGTTAATGTACACTGTTTGATCCATGATGCCGTCGATTTTATGAAGGGGACCCATTCCTTTTGCGGAAAAAGCACCCCACACTATAACCGAACCGCCTCCATGCTTCATTGTAGGAAGTTGGTATTTGGGGTCAAAACGTTTGCCTTCAGGACGACGAACCCACTTTATTCCGTCACTACCGAACAGCATAAACTTACTTTCATCGCTCCAGAGAACGTCAGACCATTGCCGTGATGTCCAGTTAAGGTGTGCTTTGGACCACTCTACTCGCGCTTTCCGATTCTTCGCAGAAATGAATGACTTCTTCACAGGTCTTCGACCATGTAGTCCTGCGTCTTGCAGGCGACGGCGTATGGTACGTACAGATGGATTAGACTGTCCTGGAGTCAATATTTCTTTAGCAATATCCGGCGCCGTGAGATGTGGGTTGCTACGAGATGTACGCAAAATGTTGCGATCGACGAGAGAAGTAGTACAACGCGGTCGGCCACGTGTTTTCTTATTAATAGAACCTTCCTGAACCTTTAAACGCTTAAGCAACTTGGTCACCGCTGATTTGGAAATGCCACATTGCTGGGCGAGTTCTCTATGCGTCCGTCCTTGTTTGCGACCCTCTACGATAGCTTTCCGTTGTCGTTCGTCCACATTTCGAACACCACAAGTCTTCGCCATCTTCTAAGATACTAAACTAATGTTTACAGCCGTGTAGAAGTAGCGACAGAATACATGAACATAACGAGTACACAAAGGTTGTCAACGGACGATTTTGGGACAATCAATAAATAACTTTGAAAATCATAGTATATTATGTAAAATTTTCTCATACATTACACACACAGTGTACATGATACCAGCTATCTGCTGTAAAAATTTGAATTTATTTTCTTTACTGTGAAAGAAGTTATGGTCAAAAACCCTGAAGGTGATATATTTTTGGCCGGTACTGTACGTGAATTCTTGACCAAAAAAGGCATCATTGTTATCGATCGATCATCCAGTGTATTCACCTGATTTGGCTCCGTGCGACTTCTGGCTATTTCCCAAACTGAAATTGGCGATGAAAGGAAATCGTTTCGATACCATCCCGGTCAACTAAAAGACTTCGACTGCCATACTAAAGGCCATTCCAGCTGATGAGTATAAAAAATGTTTCAAAAAATTTGTTGAATGTTTTCAGCGCTGTATTGACTCAGAAGGAGACTATTTTGAATAAACAAGAATAAAAAATCAAAATAATAAACGCTTTGTATTTTTTTTAGACCAGTCTCATTGGATCTGGGACAGACTGTGTATAACAGTCAAAATATGATGAGCAAAATAATTATTCGATAGAATTGTAAATAAGATTATCGAATTTGAAATACCGAGCAGAGCCCCCCTCTCTCGCTTATATGTACTGTTCCCTATATTTAAAGTAAATGAAAACTGCTTGTCTACTTCAAATATACTTCAACGTACAATTATAAAACTTTAAAATCAAATATCTCAAAAACTATAAGGGACCTCTATATAATTATATTAAGAAAAGTCACTCAGAATTTCATTCTTTATAAAATATTTCAAAATGAAAAAAATCGGTGGGATGTACCCTTTTCTATATATTTACCTTGCTTTTTTTTCCTTTTTGCATTTCTCTCTTTATTCTATCATTTTTAGTTTCTTATTTGTTACATATTTTTTCTCACATCCCTTAGGAAAAATTACTTTAAATTTTCAAATTACTTATAGTTAACTGTAAGTAATTTATAGTTAGCTATAAGTAACTTTAGGTAACTCTAAGTAACTTTAAGTTAATTGGAACATCTTAAGTAATTTTTCCTAAGGGATATCTAAAATTATTTCTTGCACTGCATTGCAAATAATATTAAGACTATGTTGACTCCAGAAGATAGCTTTTATAACAGGTGCATATATCAGGTGTAGTAAAAAGAAATCTATTATTTTTGCATGAAATTGAAGGCTTTAATTACCATAGTTAGAATGATCCGATTTAGGTCAAATATGCGCCGTTTTGTTCGATAACTTGTTGCCATTTTGAAGGTAATTTCATTATGCCTCTCTCATAGAAGCCCTCGTCCCTATTGGCAAAAAATTGAGACAGTCGATTTTCACAAGCCTCTCTTGAAGCGAATTTTTCACCAGCAAAATTGTTCGCCATGGACAGGAACAGATGGTAATCACTTGGTGCCAGGTCCGGACTATAAGGTGGATGCATAAGAACCTCCCAACCAAGCTCCCGGAGCTTCTGGCGAGTCACTATCGATGTGTGTGGCCTGGCGTTGTCCTGATGGAACACAATTCCTCTCCTATTGGCCAAAGCTGGTCGCTTCTGGGCGATTGCTTCCTTCAGACGGTCCAATTGTTGACAGTACAGTTCCGAGTTAAGAGTTTTGCCGTAGGGGAGCAGCTCATAGTAGATAATTCCCTGCCAATCCCACCAAATACACAGCAAAACCTTCCTGGCCGTCAATCCTGGCTTGGCCACCGTTTCCGCCGGCTCACCGCGATTCGACCACGACCGTTTTCGCTTGACGTTGTCGTAAGTCCACTTTTCATCACCAGTGACTAACCGTTTCAGAAATGGGTCGATTTTGTTGCGATTCGCAAATGGAAATTCGGTCCATGAGGTTTTTTTGCGTTAACTCGTGTGGCACCCATACATCGAGCTTCTTTTTGTATCCAGCCTTATTCAAATGGTTCCAAACGGTTTTTTGTGCAATCTTTAGCTCTTGGGCAATCGAAACAGTGCTTACATGACGGTCGGACTCGACAATGTCCATGATTTTATCGATATTTTCGACAATTGGCCTTCCAGTGCGTGGTGCATCTTTGACATCGAAATTACCGGAACGGAATCGGCGAAACAAAAATTGCGCGTGATTGGCTATTACAGTATCAGGACCATAAACACTACTACATGGGCTGAAAAGTCTTTGGCCTGACATATAGATGGCGCCACAAACTAAAAATCCTTATATTTCCTATAGAGTACCAACCTTAACTTAGATGCTGCATAAATTTCATGATATTTCGTTGACTCGTATACAAGTTATAGCTTTCGAAGTGACGTTACCTCTGAATTTATCTTTACTATGGAAAAAGTGAATTTCGTGTTTTGATTAAACATTGCTTCCTGATGGGAAAAAACACTGTTGAAGCAAAGGCATGGCTTGATAAATGTTACGGCACATCTGCCCCACCGAATTCAACCATCAAATATTGGTTTGCTGAGTTTCGTCGTAACCGTACGAGCACAAATGATGCACCACGTTCAGGAAGGCCAAATGAGGCAGTTACTCCAGAAAACATCCAGAAAATCAGTGAAATCGTGTTGAATGACCGCAAAATGAAATTGAGTGAGCTAGCTAACATCATAGGCATCTCAAAGGAACGCGTTGGTCATATCATTCATGAATATTTACACATGAAAAAGCTTTGCGCGCGTTGGATGCCGCGTTTTTTGACAATTGAGCAAAAAGCGGAACGTGTTCGACTTTCAAAGCAAAATCTGGCCCTGTTTAACCGCAATAAGAAAGAGTTTTTGCGTCGATTTGTCACAATGGATGAAACATGGATCCATCACTACACACCGGAGTCCAATCGGCAGTCAGCGGAGTGGTTATTGCCTGGTGAAAGCCGTCCGAAGCGCCCGAAGACACAACAATCAGCCGGCAAGGTTTTGGCCAGTATTTTTTGGGATGCGCATAACATAATATTCATTGATTATCTTGAACATGGTAAAACTATCAATAAAGAATATTACTGTACATTACTGGATCGATTGGACGACGAGGTCAAGGTCAAACGGCCGCATTTGGCAAAGAAAAAAATTTTGTTTCACCAAGACAATGCTCCAGCTCACTCGGCTCGCGATACGACCGATAAATTAAAGAAATTGCGTTATGAATTGGTCCCGTATCCCCTGTATTCTCCAGACCTGGCCCCAGCGACTATTTCCTTTTTCCCCGACTGAAGCAGTGGCTCGCTGGTAAAAGATTTTACTCGAATGAGGAGGTCAAGTTGGAAATAAATGCCTATTTTGAGGGACTTGACACCGAGCACTATAAGACCGGCATCGTAATGTTAGTGGACCGTTACACTAAGTGCATTACTCTAAATGGAGATTATGTCGAGGAATAAAACACTTTTTTCATTAAAAAAATCGTTTTTTCATTGTTAAGCCAAAGACTTTTCAGCCCATGTAGTATTCACATTTTCAGCCGCCTGGCTTGCGTTTTCGCCTTTATAGAAGAAAAACTGTAAAATATAGCGTATTTTCTCTTTGCTAGTGTCCATCTTTGACGCGCGCTCAAACAAAACTGAGTCAACTAATCACAAAACTGTCAGAAAAGTTTTTTTAGTACGAAATCTCATCTTTCTAACGCCATCTAGTGGAACCCGATCGGACTTATACAACGCGAGATACAGATAACTAAAGCCATCTATTGGAAAAATAATGGATTTCTTTTTACTACACCTGATATATTGTGATAATAGTCTGGATGATATATCTTTTCCTGCTCGCTTTAATTTAAGAAACATCCAAGAAAGAGGTGCGTTCAACTATAGTCTTATATTAATGGTAAATAATTACTGCAATAAGAAATAGATAAATTTCAAATTTTTCAATATATTTGACATTTTTGCATAGAATATACAAATCCTAGCTGTGATATTGTGTACAGAAGGGCTGGCACCAGGTTGCACATTTCAGCCAATTTTCTCGACCGTCATCCTCATTCCTCTTGTTTTGTAGCTTCTAGCTTGAGTTTAGGGACGAATTAGCTGTGTATCGTATAGGCCCTATACGATAACTGAGTGCAAGTGTCATATTTCTCCGAACACAGTCTAGAAGCTACAAAACAAGAGTGAAAATAATGGTTGAGAAAATCGGTTGAAATGTGTAACCCGCCGCCAGCCCTGATGTAAAGTGTCTGACAATATATTTTACTTTATATATTTAAAGATTATTTTGTTATTCTGAACAAGAAAATCCTTTATTATTTGGCAAATAATAATCTAGCAAATTTTAGTTATTATTTATCATTTATTGTTATATATTGAGATATTATTTATTGAAAGCAGAATATATACATTTCTTTAATAAATAATTCAGGAATTTGCGTGGTCGGTGCAAAGAGATAAAAAAAAATTTTTTGTTCAGAGAGAATGGTCTACTATCTCCAAATATATAAAGGTTGTTATATTTAGCGACAGACATCAGTATGTTGAATTTTGAACCTCGAATCTTGAACATATCATTTGATACAACAGTCATTATATTGTAGATTAGGCCATTCTAAAAAATCATTTTTCATTTTATAAATAATCATGCAAATTTTTTATTTATTATAATTAATATTATATATATATTAATATTATATATATATTAATATTATATATATATTAATAATATTAATTATAATTATTATTATAATTAAAGGGGACTTTATAACCTATTTTCAATAATTAATGACTCAAAATTTTATTTGGTTACTTGCAAAATGGTAGAAGACTTTCATGTTTAGAATGATCTAATCTACAAGTATATTTAAAAGAGTTAAATTTGCACAAGCAGATCCTGAGTAGAGGTTGTTATAAATTTTTAATGCCAAAAAAATAAATATATGAAATCTCTTCTACCTGACACTATTACCAAATTTCTATCAGAA